GCACGGACGGACAGACGGACGGAGATCGAATGAATGGAATCGGTCCAAGGGTTTCTGCAGTACAAGAAAACAGAGACTAATATCACATACTATAATAGAACCACTGCATACACTAACATTGAAAGGACAGAAGGGAAAAGTTACAGAGCATGATACATGTTAAAGCCAAGTTTTTAGAAAACTAAATATGAACAAGACTAAAACAAATAAGCATTGACAAAGCACAGTTCCTGTTTGGTGTTACCGGTAGTTGATCTCATTGAATGAAATAAAATTTGTATAACTTTCAATGTTTTAACACATTGACAAATGTAGCTGCATATGCCTTCCATAACCTATGAAATAACACTTGTATAGACTCCAATATGGTAATAAGAATGAATTAACAACCCTATTGCTAACAATGAAAAAGATCATTATTAATTTTTTCAACACCACTCATTACATTTTAATTTTTTGAGAGGCAATAAAATAAATCTTACTGTCTGGCTTGTCTGTTTCCTTGTTCAAGTTTGTAACCCTGTCCACCAATAGGAACATTACAGTCTCGACATCGACTTACACTAGCAGGGTTACCACACTGTAATAATAATAACATAGTAGTTAAATATTACAACTGCATATCATAAAACAGGAAATGGTAAAAACATACTTAACATAAAGAATAGTATCTTATACTGAACAGTATCTTATCAATTTAAACTAACATTAATGCATGCATCAATCCATAGGAACAACTTTTGAAATATACAAGGAGCAGTGCAAAACAAAATAGCATGATTATGCATCAGCATAGTCTGTGTTAATGCTGGGCAACGATGCCTAGTCTTAATCCCTAACACATGACATCAACGTGTGCCCCCATTCATAAACATGTGACCTTTCATCTCGTACATGTCTTGCCCGTGCTATTTCCATTCACATGCATATTCTAAGCTTGTACTCTTGTGCCTTGTGAAAATAAATGGTTTTCCAGTATGGCATTAAAGTATCAACAGGGGTGAAACTGAGCATGATACTATTATATCAACCTATACATCATCTGAAAGCTTACATATAATCGAATACACTGGTGCATGCGCTTGTCTCAAGAATGATCTGATGGTCAATTTTGCTATTACGATTTTCAACAATTTCAACTTTTGAAAACATGAAAAGGATGGAAGAGAAGAGATAGATAGATAGATAGATAGATAGATAGATAGAAAAAAGAGGGGATAGAATGAAAGAGAAGGGAGAGAGGAGGGGAGATAGAAAGAAAGACAGGAGAAAAGAAAGGAAAGAGACACACGGACTGACTCATCTATCATACCATCTTACATACTTGCATTCTGATACTATATTTAATATGTAACTTACATCTCCTATAGTGTATGGATGTCCATTCTGGCATTCTGTCAAACAAAACAACATGGAAATACTAAGTAAAAGGGAATTATGACCAAGCAGTTTATTATTTCTGCCAAAGATGTTATGTTTTTTGCCAGCGTTTGTTTTCTGTTTGACTGTAGACAGAATAACTCCATATGTTATGAAATGATTCTTCTAGAAAACTTCGGGAAAGACACATGCATAATTATGTATTTCATAATGTATGATGTACGTGTGAAATTTTAATGTGATCAGTACAGGTATTCTGAGACAGGTGGGAAAATACATGTTTTCAGATTTTGTTCAAAAGAGGACTAAAAATGATGTGCATCAAAATTCCATAGTGTTCAAATTACATATAAAGTTTGAACAAAATATGTTCATACATGACAGAAATCTAGTTCCGGAAAGGCAGAAATTCATTTTTATATCATGTCATTTTATAGTAAATCAATCAATCAATCATTTATACAAGTTAAAAATAGAAGGCACTCTGAGACTGCATTTCTCCACCACAGATGCAAATTACTTATCTTCACTAATATTTCTAAAACGACTGCATTAAATATGTCTTATGACGAAAAATCTTTATCATAATACATGTAAACCTCTAATTTTATTTTGAAAAGTTTTGAATAGTAAACTCACTCAATAAATCATACAAGGACCCTATGGTTCCAGTGCTGTATATCTGACATGCCCTGACCAATTATGTTCAAATATTATACATCATGTCACACATATGCACAAGTATTTATTTGATGATCAAATTAAAAAAGAAAAAAGGATGGCCATTTAAATGTTAAGAACATCATTATCTATGCACTCACCATACCACTTTTT